AATAATAATAATAATAATAATAAAAGTACATTAGTTGTATGAATTTACTTAAGTTAAGTTTGAATGAATAATACCCTCATAATTTTGTCTTAAATTATACTGTAGTTTTTAATAAAATTTGATTTACCGAAATAATATATATATATAAAATCATATTCATATAAAAGAAAGACAGTGGGGGCAGGAATGTAATTTGAGCAGCGGTCTCCATTATTCGGTGAAGATTCTTGTCCTACTCCGACTCCGACTCCGACTCCGGGAAGTGAAGGGTAGGTGAATGAATATTTATCAAAATCGTCCTCTTGACTGAAATCCAAAAGGCTAAATCGGCGACGCTCCCAAATAAAAATTGAAGTTGAAGGATGTTTTCGGTACTTTCTGAAGTTTAAGGATGAATTAGTTCAAAAATAAAAGTTGAGGGACCAATTCAGGTATTTAACCTAAAAAAATATGTTAGCTATGTAAACATCATTATTCAATTAATTCTTAAATAGAAAAAATTGAAAGTTGACATACTTATTTAGAAAAAATTGATAGTTGACATCTTTATTTAAAAAAATTGAAAATTGACATCCTTATTTAAAAACTGACAAAATTAACATTTTTAAATAGAAAAAAATACAAAGTTAGAATCCTTATTTACACATTTACTCATATTTTTTCTACAGGGTCCCTTGTTGGATGAAGTGCATCAACAGCTTAAACCATGGATATCTCAGGTGGTTTACTTACTATGATAAAGGATATCTGGTGAACTAACTTTTGTTATTTAAACTTTCTTCTTTCTATTGTGAAATTGTTCATAGTTGTATCTTATCCCAAAGCTCAACCTTCACAGCTCTGTGTACCAAAAAAAGAAAAAACATTCACAGCTCAGAATTTTAAATGTTAATCTAACAGCTAAATCTGGGGATTAAAATTAGACTAATGGAAAGCGAAATGTGAAACTAAATTTGGTTGAGAGTTCAGAAACATTCAAGAGAAATAGCTTCAACCTTGGGGTGTATTGTTAATGGAGCTTGATATAGAAGAACTAAGATATGTATTCCATTCACTGTTAATTTGGTTTTTGGGTTCTTTTCTCAAGAAAGCTTATTGGTGGGAATTAAAGCTTTATTCATGTATGCTTCTCTCCTTTTGGCTCGTTATCCTATAATGTACTATAAAAATATCCTCCTTGGTGCTCTCAGCCTATATATATTTTTGCTTCAGAACTGTGCATTGTAACACATGAAGAACTCATGTTTTCTGTTGTGCTATGGAAAATGCAATTTTTGCACACAAATTCATTATTTACTGTTGGAGATGTTCCTATTCCAATTTCGGTTTAACTATATAATTATATGCAGAACAAGGGTTTCAATTTTTGTCCTTATCAAAAGACTCTTGCCCTCTAGTTTTCGTTACACAATGCTGATTGCTGCATGCACGAACAGGTTACTAGGGTATACAAGGGAAAGGAGCATGCTGAAGTTGAGTTCAGTGTACGTTA